TCGAGCATATGGATGTTTCTGTATGCTGTCAGAAGTACCTATCCTCCATTATGGTGGCTCTAACCTGTAGCTTTAAATTCAATCCTCCTTAACTATATTTGTTTAATTATGTTGAAACTGCAGATACACAACTTTGAAATACTAAGTTAGTGAGAGCTATGGTAATGTGTGTCTGTGAGAGAGTTCACTGACAAGCTGCTTTTGGAGTTAATGCATTGTTAAATACTTTGAAATGTATATAATAAGCTTGATATGCAATACTATGAATACGACCACAATCTCTGAGACTTAGTATGACTGTATTTATGGTTGCACAGGACCAGAGTGTACTTCCACTACTTTATCGCTGGATACCATGTTTGGAGGGGATGTGAACTGGAGATGGGTCTCAAGCAAAAATTGCCTGTCATTTGACCATTACTGTGTTTGATCATAGAAATAACAGTGTAGTTAATTTCCTTTTTGGTATCTATGGTCCCAATGTCTAGGTAATCAATGCATAAGCTAACACTAATGCAGTGCCTTTATCCAAAGATGGTAAAGTTGCTGTAGTCTTGCAATGACTGGTGGTGGCTTAACCTGAAGATCACCACATCTCAGGTGAGGGGAGAGGTTAAGGAGGAGTGTCCTATGTGGTAACCTCAGCTGGTGCAGCAATTGAACCCACATTACTGGCATCTCTCCACATCACAAAGCAGCCAACTGAACCAATCGACCCCCTTTGTATATATGTAGTCTAATGCAGTATTCATATCTGTATACCTAGTGTAGTGTGCAATGCTTTTAATGAAATGTACAATGTGTTTAATGCAATATGTTATTATATCCAAGGCAGTGTAAAATGTATTTGATGCAGGACACAATATTGTGACAGGGTTAGGCAACTGAGACATAAAAACAGGTCAATCTATCAAAGCAGTCCATGTGAGATAACAAGGTGTAGAGCTGGATGAACACAGCAGGCCAAGCAGCATCAGAGGAGCAGGAAAGCTGATGTTTTGGGCCTAGACCCTTCTTCAGAAATGGGAGAGGGGAAGGGGGTTCTGAAATAAATCGGGAGAGAGAGGGAGGCGGATGGAAGATGGATAGAGGAGAAGATAGGTGGAGAGGAGACTGACAGGTCAAAGAGGCGGGGTTGGAGCCAGTAAAGGTGAGTGTAGATGGGGAGTTAGGGAGGGGATGAGTCAGTCCAGGGAGGACGGACTGGTCAAGGGGGCGGGATGAGGCTAGTTTAACAGCACCTCATATTTCACTTGGGAACCCTGCAGCCCAATGGTATCAATGTGGATTTCACAAGCTTCAAAATCTCCCCTCCCCCTACCGCATCCCAAAACCAGCCCAGCTTGTCCCTGCCTCCCTAACCTGTCCTTCCTCCCACCTATCCCCTCCTCCCACCTCACCCCCTTGACCTGTCCGTCCTCCCTGGACTGACCTATCCCCTCCCTAACTCCCCACCTACACTCACCTTTACTGGCTCCATCCCTGCCTCTTTGACCGGTCTGTCTCCTCTCCACCTATCTTCCCTTCTATCCATCATCCATCCGCCTCCCCCTCTCTCCCGATTTATTTCAGAACCCCCTTCCCCTCCCCCATTTCTGAAGAAGGGTCTAGGCCCGAAATGTCAGCTTTCCTGCTCCTCTGATGCTGCTTGGCCTGCTGTGTTCATCCAGCTCTACACCTTGTCATCTCAGATTCTCCAGCATCTGCAGTTCCTACTATCTCTAAAGCAGTTCATGTCCTTTTTATGGGCTATTCGTGACTCCTCTGATTCTGAGTATTTGTGTCCAAGTGCAGCAGGAGAATATTCACGCTTGAGTTCAGGAGTGGGAGTGGCAAATACTATCCATGCCATACAAGTGCCAAGTAATGTCCATCTTCAACAAAAGAGAATCTAACTTTATTGATATTCAACAGCATTAACACTGAATCCCCAATTATCCATATCCTAGTCATCACATTTTGGAGCTGGAGGATCAAAGCAGGTCAGACAGCATCAGTGGAACTGGAGAGTCAGCCGTTCGAGTCGGGACCCTTCATCAGAACCTGTTCCTCCAGCTCCACACTGTGTTGACTCTGAGTCCAGCATCTGCAGTTCTTGCTATCTATCAATATCCTAGGTTTTGCCATTAACCCAAAACTGCATTGGACCAGCTATATTAATACTATGGCTACAAGAGGAGGTTATAAGGTTGGGAACTCTGTAGCAAGGAATTCACCTCCTGATCCCCAAAATTATCCAGCATCTTCAAGGCATAAATCAGGAATGAGATGGAATTCTCCCCACTTGCTAGGATTAGTGAACATTCAAGAACACTCAAGAATCTCAACACCAACCACGACAAAGCAGATTACTTGTTTAAGAACAAAGAACAAAGAAAATTACAGCACAGGAACAGGCCTTTCGGCCCTCAAAGCCTGTGCCGATTCAGATCCTCTATCTAAACCTGTCGCTTATTTTCCAAGGATCTGTATCCCTCTGCTCCCTGCCCGTTCATGTATCTGTCCAGATACATCTTAAATGACCCTATTGTGCCCACCTCTACCACCTCCGCTGGCAACACGTTCCTGGCACCCACCACCCTCTGCGTAAAGAACTTTCCACATGTAGTATCCCTTCCATCCTAAACATTCATGTTAAACATTGACTCCCTTCATCATGATAGCAATGTGTACTGTTTCCAGGTTACACTGCAAGAACTCACCAAGGCTCCTCATAAGACTTCACGGGTTAAAATTGGTGCAATTTGGATCATATTCAATCCAGATTCCAAATCCATGACCTCTATTGTCAGAAGGACAAGCATAGCTGATGCATGCAAGCACCATCACTTACCTATAAGTTCCCCTTTGAGCCACATACCATCCTGACTTGGAAGTATATCACCACTTTTTCTCTGTGGCTGAGTCAATATGCTGGAACTTCCACCCTAACAGCACAATGGATGCTCCTACACCACGTGGACTGCAACAATTCAAAACAAATGGCTCACCATCACCTCCCGGAAGTTCACTTAAGGAGCTAACAACACAAGATGCTTTCTAAAAAGCACAACACCCCGCCAAGCTTTCCTGATTCACATTCAGCATTGCATAATTTCTCCCGTATGCCTAAATAGTTTTCACTCAAATACATCTTATGCTGCCCCCTTCACCACTCAGTGTGGTGAGTTTCACATTCTCAGCACTTTTGGTGAAGGGTCTAGGCCCGAAACGTCAGCCTTTTTGCTCCTATGATGCTGCTTGGCCTGCTGTGTTCATCCAGCTCTGCACCTCGTTGTCTACAATATATTTTAGTACAATTTTAATGCAGTGTGCAATTATTTAATGGAACGAATAATATATGTAATGTAATTTATAATGCTAATACGGTGTGCATTTTATTTAATGCAATGTGCAGTACGGTTAGTACAGTGTACAATGTATGAAATGTAGCTCAATGTGTTTGATGCAGTGTACAATGTATGAAATGTAGCTCAATGTGTTTGATGCAGTGAACAATGTATAGTACAATGTATTTAATGCAATGTATCTCAATCTCGTGGAGCCAGCTCCAGGTAAAGTTTCTCACATTCTGACTGCAGCAAATCGGACTATTCCAATATCGGCGTCGTATGTGGGCGGGGGGCAGGATATCAAACAACATTTATTCTTATTTGTTTCTGTAACGTTCGAGATACGAAAGCGGTAAACGACGCCTCACTAGAAGAATCACGGATAATGGTCACATAACTACCTTAGTTATAAAGCAGCTGCTCTACAAAGAGGGAGAATATTCTCCACGAGATTTGTCTCCCTCCTCCCCCCCCCCCCAGCAGCGCGGTGTGTGGTCGGTTCCGTTGCTAAGCCCGCTCTCAGACTGAAGGCATCGATCACCGACAGCGGTCAGAGCAGGATCGGTGTTGGAGAGGAGGGAGGGGCGGTGTGTCCCTGCGCCGTTCGGACTCAGTCCACACAGACCAACATATAAATCATATATTGTAACCATCTCTCTTGTTTCTGCTTCTCCCCGCCCTCTTCTCCCGCAGGTACAAGGCTCGGTGGAAGGTATGCTGGAGAAGCTGGAGCTAGAGGATGAAGGTGAGATTCCTCCCTCACAGGCAGCCGTCAGCCTGACCCAGGGGCAAGTGGGATCAGTTTCACAGGGGCAGCTTGGACACATAGTGTTGGATCTGAATGTTCGCCCCGCTGATCAGAGTTACTTAAAGCTTCTCCCCGCACTCTCTTTTGTTCTTTTCCATTTTCATCATTTTATTCTCCCTTCTCCATCCCTATCTCTATATACCCCCCAGGCACGTCACACTTCCCTCTCCCTTAACACATTCATCCCTCTCCTCACCATCACTCATTCCTTCCTCTCTCATGACACTCTCTCACCTCGTCACAGTTTGTGTCCCCCCTCCGCACCCCCAGTTGCACTCACCTGTCACACTCTTAAACCTCCCACCACCTGTCACGCTCTTTCCCCTCCATCCTCTGTCTTCCCCCCCCCCCTGTCACGCTCTTCCCCCCCCCCCCCCCCCCTCCCCCACAGCCTGTCACACTTTTTTCCCCCCACCCCCTGTATTGTTGTCCCCCACCCTTGTCTCACTCTTGCCCACTACCAGTCGTGCTCTCCCCCACTCCGTTGCATTGTCGTACCCTTTCCATTGCTCTCTCATGTCAACGTTCTCTCTTCACATGCTTTTGTCTTTCGTTGTTCCATCTCCACAATGTATTGGGTGGAAAGAGTATATCTCTATTATAAATATCGTTGGCTCAAGCTCTAAATATCTGTTATTTAAGCCACATGCATATGTGAAATTGGGAGACCAATATTTGGTACAAAAAAGTGTATTGGCATCCTGGTTGAGTGATTTATTGCCAGTTTTTGACCTTTTGTCCTGATTGTGTTTCTTCATTCTGCCCCTCTCCCAATCCTCTTAACAGTGGTCAATAATATGTTCCCTGTCCATTTGTGTGTAAATGCCATTTGCAGAATCTGTGTTACTAGGAGTACATTTTTAATACAGTCTGAGGTATAATTTCCCTGATTGCTGAGGCTTCTGGCTAGTGTGCGGATCTATGGCATCGATTATGTTGAACGTCAAAAGGGCTCAAATTCACTTTTGTTCATCTGTTTGACTTTGTATTACCGTGTTCTCTTGGCCGTTGCTGTGTCCTGTTGTTAGCCCTGTTGCGATGTTTGAGTAAGAACTGTGAATTTTAATTGGAAGGAAAGGATGTGATTATGTGAAGGCTACCAAGTGATGGGTAAGAAGGTTAATTGTGTAGTTTGCTCAGAAGGGGCCTTTTTCATCTTCCTTTGAAGCTGTGAAGTCAAAGCAGATGATTAAGCAATAAGGTGTGAGCTGAAATTGCTGCTTTCATAAGGCTGTATGTTTAAGAGAAAGTAAAATTAAGAAATAACACTATGCGGACTTTGCAGAACGCTAAGGTAATCATTAGCTCTGAGTCAGTCCCCAGAGGTTGGCATTGCGGGCAAACGTTTATGAAGAAGTGCTATGTCATTCAAAAGCATGACACCTGTTTTGTTGTATGAAGGTTGGATTAGTGCCAGATTTATTCTCTGTTGTTTTTTAAAAAAAAATGTTTTTGCAACTAAAATTGGTCATGTTTGGTTAAAAATTATAAGGCCTTAAATAGATAGGCCAGGTTAACTTAGCATAAGGGTTAGCTTTTGAATAGGGATTCATTTCACTTCTTCATTAGAAATATGGTTTTGTATGTGTGAAGTGAATTCTGACTTAGGATTTAATAACAGGTCAACTTTAAGCAGATTCTGTATAAAGCATTTTAAGATTATATTTTCATCCTTTGCATTCACATGTATTTTCTGATGTTAGTATACAGTTTATTCTATCTTCAACCTCACTTTTATCACCGTTCCAACTTGATAAACCTACAATTGGTATGCCTGTACATTCTGTTCTGGAATTCTGTGGGCACAATGGATTAAAAATAGTTTAAAAATGTTTACACTATAACTGAGTAAATTGTTGACTGAGCAGTATTGATCCAAGCAGAGAGTAGAAAAAGGAAATGCCTGACTGTAGCTGGAGGGCAGTGATTGATTTCAAAACTGCGCTGTTCTTGGGAGAGGAGATGGTCGTGAGACACTGTCTGACAATCAGTTACGTTATCCGCTCGCCATTCCCCACCCCCCCCCCAACCTTTTCTGAATGCTGCATTAAATGTGATCAATATTTCAGTGGTGGAGGAGCAAATATGAAGTGACTTAGTTTATTTGGATCCTGTGCTTGGAATTGACAGAGGAACTTAGCACAAAGTAGCTACAGCAGATTGAAAGAATTACCCAAATAGATTAGTATGTTGTAGAAATGCACAGGAGTTATTTGCTTTCTGTTCAGTCAACACTCCCCTGAATCCAATGAAAGTTAAAGCTTCAAAGGTATGCGCGGGCAGAAATTGATCAAATTTGAGATTTCTCAACAGCATGTTTGAATCACACTGTCTCTTCTTCCGAAAATGTTGGAAGTCACTTTAAAGTAGTTCTATTTAAGTATGTGACTGCTGTTTCACCATTTGAATCTCCTGACAATGCTGACTCATGCTAGATTAAGGTTTCATAGTCACTTGGATGCTATCTGATGTTTCATCCTAGGTGGCAGAGTCATTATATTCTAGTTGGTGCAGTACTTCATTCCTTTTATTGAGGCACGTCTCAGCACTCTGCCTGACTCCAGAAAGGTTCCTGACCTCATTGGCTGTATATCTGGCTCTGAGGTAGCCTACTATTAAGATTTTATTTGACTGGGCAATGAGTACTCAGCCACTGTAGGCTTCAGGGAACTATCTTATATTCACTACTTTTGGACACCTTTCACAAGTTGAAAAAATCTACAGTAGATTTACATAATCATCCCCTTTCATTACTTTTTGATGTCGAAGACTTGAAACCCTGTCAAGAGAAGATCTTTGATTTTGAACAAAAGTCCACTCAATAAAAAGCAATCAGCTGTGGAAAAGTAACAGCTTATGTAATTTATAAAAGAAACCCATCCCTCATTGTTCCCCACATTGAGACCAATTATTGTGCCACTTCTTTTTTGCCAAGAACAACCAGCATATCCCAGATTAAGAATTACATGGGGGATCTTTCTCATTGTTAACATGAGTCAGACCTGACTCATCACTTCATTTACCAAATTAGACATCTTTGACTATGACATTGACAAAAATAGAGTAACATAGAATTACGTTGAGAACAAGCCATGCCCCAATGACTTCACGGTGGTGTTCATTGCACAAGTGAGCAGTTGCACTAATTCTGGATTCTCACTCTGGCCCTATATCTCCTGTGGCCCTTCTCTGTAACCTCCTGTATGTTGGTGTAATCTCTGCTTCGATCCTTTGTGAAAATGTTTCTCCTGTTGCGTTGATCTCATATCAATGTCTAATTGCTTTGGATCTTTCAAACACCAGAAAGTCTGTTTTTAATATCCATCCCCACCTAATGTTAAATATCTCAATTAAGTGACTTCTTAATTTCCTTTCCGTTCTAATCAAAGCAAGCCTTTTTCGGTGTTTGAGGTTCCTCCTATCAGTTGGCAGTCTGAAAGCCCCAAACTGTGTCTAGTGCTCTAGCACTATATATGTTGTGTCTAAACTAGAGCAATACGCTGTGAATAGAAATGGCCTCAGAACAGAACTAGTGGAATCTCAATTCTCCTCTTCAGTTGGAGGAGCTGACATTTCATGTTCTAGTCATTATCCTCCTTTCTAACCATCTTTAATCCAATTTACTACCTTCTCTTTCAATTTCAAATCTGTTAAGTTAATTCAGTCTTCTGTGTGATATGCTGTCAGGGTGTTTTAGACAACTCACTGCATTTCCCAAAAAATACAGATCATTTTAAAAGATTATTTGTTCAGTGTCACGTTAATAAACCTTCGTGATGTACAGAAACAATTTTCATCTTTCCTCAATCTTTTTAAAAGAAAACAGTGACAATGTTTTGGAGTCTTTTCTGAAACCACGTACCTCTTTGGCTTTCACAGCTTGAGTATTTACCACACCACTTCACTGTACCAAGCAGAAATGTGACAGACAAGTTGTGCACAGCATGACCCCACAAACCACAATAATGCAGATGATCAGCTCATCTGTTCCATGTTGATTTGAGAGAGAAATGTTCAAAAAAAGTTTGCATTCCTACAGAGCCCATCACAATTCCAGGATAACTCAAAACCAATAGTGTAGCCACTGCTGTAATGTAAAACACCAGTTGTCCTCTATAGAGCAATGTAACAATCATGAAAGAACCTGTTTTTGTGGTTAATGAATAGTTTATCCGGTTGTGGGCTTAGACGTTGCAGAGAACCTCCCTGCTTCTGTTTACAGAGGTGCTGTGGGATCTTCTGTATTCCCTGAGAAGGCAGGAGGAGCCTTGGTTTAATGTCTCAGCTGAAAGCAGTACCAAAATGAAAAGTAAACGTTCTCCTGACATCTTATCGCCAGCATTCCGCTTTGTCATCTGTTGCTTCTGCTTTGTGGTTGGAGAAGTCAGGAGGTTACTATGTCTAATACTGCTTTGTGCACGCAAAGGAGGGCAGCTGTTGGCCTCTGACCTTGGCTGAGTTAGGAGGGAAACCTGAGCAGCCTCTGATTCTATACTATGAACTGTGCTGGGATGGATCTTCCTCCACGACAAAGGTTTGGAGGGATATGAGCTAGGAGAAGACAACTACTTTAGTTTGGGATTATGTTTGGCATGGGCTGGTTGGACCAAAGGGTCTATTTCTGTGCTGTATGACTCTATGACTCTCGCCCTGCTCCGTCCTTGAGTCAAGCAGTCTCCTGGCACTCATTGGCAGGGTTATAGTGAGATGTAGTACCTGTTGGATTATAGGAGTAAATTCTGTCTTGTAGTTCACTGCTGCAGTATCTTCACGTATCTCTGCAGTGCATGGGGGAAGCATTTGTTTTGAACCAATTGCATTTTGCAACAAGGGTTGTCTAGGTTATTGGCAATTGGGCTGATGGTTATTTTTGTTCATAATTCAGCCTGTCATGCTGTTCAGATGCTGAAGGAATGTCCTTTCCATGCTGTAACCTTTCTTTCTCCTGTTTCTTTGACAGCTGAAGAATCTGACAGTGATATTTATATGAGGTTTATGAAATCCCACAAGTGCTATGACATCGTCCCCACCAGCTCAAAGCTTGTTGTATTTGACACGTCATTGCAAGTAAGATTTTGTGTTTATTTTAAGTCTTTTGCCTCATTTTGAGTGTCTGGGCAACTATTAATCATGTTCATTATGTTAGTATTGTTGATTTATGTTTTGAAGTGTTTCCTTATGTGTGACCTGGAGCCGGTACTGTAACAATCCTAAGTACGCAGAGGCTTTGTTGTAGTTTATATCTGCAATTTGTTGGATAGTGGTTTCCCAGTTGGTGCTTAGGCAAGCTATAAAGGAGAGAATGGGTGCTTATCAGCAACAACTGGCATTTATATAGCACTTTTAAAATAATGAAACCTCTCAAGAAAACTCGCAGGTGTGCTGTCAGAAAAAAAATTGACACTGGAACACATTAGGACATTTTAGGACAGGTAATTAAAAGCTTGTCAAAAGAGTTAGCACTTAAGGAGCATCTTAAAGGAGTAAAGAGAGGTGAAATAGTTTAGGGAGGCAATTCCAGAGCTTTTCAACATGAGAAATATGGGCATCAATGGTGGAGTGGTGAAAAACAGATGTACAAGATGAATGCGTGGCTAAAGATTAGTGCAGGGGGCAGGGATTCAGATTCCTGGATCATTGGGATCTTTTCTGGGGCAGAGGTGACCTGTTCAAGAGGGATGGGTTGCACCTGAACTGGAGGGGGACAGTATCCTGGCGGGCAGATTTGCTTGTGCTGCAAGGAAGAGTTTAAACTAGATTGGAAGGATTGGGATCCTCAACAGCAGGGAGGCAAGTGTGAGGCTGGAAGGAGATACAGTAATCAGAAATAGCAACTTGAAGAGACAGGTCAGGCTGGAACAGGACTTGGAGCGAGGAATGCCTGTTGGATTAAATTGCATCTATTTCAATGCAAGAGGCTGACAGGTAAAGTCATTGACCTCAGGGCGTGGATAGATACATGGTGCTGGGATAGAAACATGGCTAAGGGAGGGACAGGACTGGCAGCTTAATGTGCCAGGGTACAGGTGTTTTAGGCGGGACAGAGGTGGAGGAAAGAGGGGAGGGGGAGTTACGTGTTTGATGAAAGGGAGTATCACAGCAGTAGTTAGAGACGAAATAACTGAGGGATCATCTAGTGAGACTTTGTGGATGGAGCTAAGAAATAGCGAGGGGATGGTGACATTATTGGGGTTGTACTGTAGGATCCCCCAAGTAGTCAACAGGAATTAGAGGAACAAATATGCAGGGAAATTGGGAGACTTGCAGGAGCAATAGAGTTATCATACTGGGGGATTTTAATTTTCCTAACATAGACTGGGACTGCCATAGTGTTAAGGGCTTAGATGGGGTGGAATTTGTTAAATGTGTTCAGGAAAGTTTCCTCAAGCAGTATATAGAGGGCCCTACTTGGGAAGGGGCAATACTCAACCTAGTCGAGGGAAATAGGGCAGGACAGGTTACTGAGGTGACAGTGGGGGAGCACTTTCATACCAGTTCTATTAATTTTAAAATAGTTATGGAGAAGGACAAAACTGGTCCACAGGTTCGAGTTCTAAATTGGGGCAAGGTGAGTTTTGATGGAATTAGACAGGAGCTTACAGTGGATGATTGGAGTAGTTTGTTTGCAGGCAAAGGGAGCTCTGGCAAGTGGGAAACCTTTAAAATTTTGATAGCTAGAGTTCAAGGTCTATATGTTCCTGTGAGGGTGAAGGGCAAGGTTGGCAGGAGTAGGGAACCATGGCTGACAAGAGATATTGAGGCTTTGACCAGCAAAAGGGAGGTGGTATGGCTCTGGTACAGGCAGCTGGGATCAAGGGAATCCCTCGAGGTACATGGGGGACAAAGGAGTTTACTAAATAAGGAAATCAGGAGGGCAAAAAGGGGGCCCGAGATATCTTTGGCTGAGAAGATTAGGGCGAGATTTTTTAAGTATATTAAAGGAAAAAGAATAACTAGAGAGAATAGGACCCCTCAAGGACCAGAGTGGACATGTATGTGTGGAACCACAAGAGATGGATGAGGTCCTCAAAGAATATTTCTCCTCTGTGTTTACCATGGAGGAAGACATGAAGACTTGGGTACTTGGGGAAGTTGGTGGCGATATCTTAGAGACAGTCCATATCACAGTAGAGGAGGTGTTGGAAGTATTAGACTGTATGAAGGTGGATAAATCTCCTGGTCCTGACCAGATATATCTAAGAACCCTGCAAGAGGCTAGAGAAGAAATTGCGGGGACCTTGGCTGATATATTTGCATCATTGTTAGGCACTGGTGTGAGGTCCCAGAAGAATGGAGGGTAGAGAATGTTGTGGCCTTATTCAAGAAGGGCTACATAGAAAAACCTAGGCTTTATAAACCAGTAAGCTACTTGAGAAGATTCTGAGGGATAAGATATACATGCATTTGGAAAGACAGGGTTTGCTTAGGAATAGTCAGCATGGCTTCGTGCGTGGGAGGTTATGCCTCAGATATTTGTTAGAGTTCTTTGATGAAGTGACCGTGAAGGTTGATGAGGGCTGGGCAGTAGACGTGGTCTATATGGATTTCAGCAAGGCCTTTGATCATGGTAGGCTGCTCTGGAAGGTTAAATCGCATGGAATCCAGGGAGAGCTGGCAAATTGGATACACAATTGGCTTGATGGTAGGAAGCAGAGAGTAATAGTGGAAGGATGCTTGTCAGACTGGAGGCCTGTGACTAGTGGTGTGCCTCAGGGGTCGGTGCTGGACCCAATGCTGTTTGTTATCTAGATCAATGATTTGGATGGTAATGTACAAGACATGATTAGTAAGTTTGTGGATGACACTAAAATAGGCGGTATCGTGGACAGTGAGGAAGGTTATCAGAAATTGCAGCAGGATCTTGATCAGCTGGGGAAGTGGGCCGAGAAATGGCAAATGGAGTTTAATATAGATAAGTGTGAGGTGTTGCATTTTGGAAAGTCAAGTCAAGTCAAGGTAGGAATTTCATGGTGAATGGTAGGGCCTTTAGGAGTGTAGTGGAACAGGGGGACCCTGGAGTTCAGGTGCATGGTTCTCTGAAAGTGGAGTCACAGGTAGACAGGGCAGTGAAGGCAGCTTTTGGCACACTGGTCTTCATCAGTCAGGGCATGAGTACAGAAGTTGGGAAGTTATGTTGCAGTTGTACAGGACATTGGTGAGGCTGCACTTGGAGTATTGTGTTCAGTTTTGGTCATCTTGCTATAGGAAGGATGTTATTAAACTGGAAAGTGCAGAAGAAATTTACAAAGATGTTGCCAGGACTCAAGGGACTGAGTTATAGGGAGAGGTTGGACAAGCTAGGACTTTTTTCTTTAGAAGGTAGGAGACTGAAGGAGGATCTTATAGAAGTATATAAGATTGTGAGATGCATGGATAGGGTGAATGCACTCAGTCTTTTTCCCAGGGTTGAGGAATCAAGGACCAGAGGGCATCAGTTTAAGGTAAGAGGAGAAAGAATACGTGGGAACCTGAGAGGCAACTTTTTTACACAGAGGGTGGTACGCATATGGAATGAGGTACCAGTGGAAGTGGTTGAGTTGGATAGCAATATTTAAAAGGCATTTGGACAAAAACATGGATAGGAAAGGTTTAGAAGGATATGGGTCAGGTGCAGCGAAATGGGCTAAGCGTGGATGGACATTTTGGTCAGCATGGACCTGTTTGGGCTGAAGGGCCTGTCTTAGAGCTGTAGGACTCTATGACTAAGAGGCCAGAACTCAAGCAGTGGTAAGATCAGGCTGGAAAAATTTTAGGCCCTCAGATCAGAGTTAGCAAAAACTTGGGACTTTGCTAACACCAGACAGAGGGAGAATGAAGAGAAACTTCGTTTTATAAAAGAAAAGCTTAAAATGGTGGTAAACTAACATGTGACTATGACCAAGTTACCATGTTTTAATAAGATAACAAGATAGAAGAGGCTCTACCTTGAGGAAACCAAGCAGAGGCTTGGATACCGCTTTGTGGAACACCTACACTTATTTCGTGACAAACGACTGCACTTCCCAGTTGCGAACCACTTCAGCTCCTCCTCCCACTCCTTGGACGACATGTCCATCCTGGGCTTCCTCCAGTGCCACGATGATGTCACCCGAAGGTTGCAGGAACAGCACCTCATATTCCGCTTGGGAACGCTGCAGCCCACTGGTCTCAATGTGGACTTTACAAGCTTCAAAATCTCCCCACCCCCAACCTCATCCCAAAATCAGCCCAGCTCATCCCCGCCTCCTTGACCCGTCCGTCTTTTCTCCCACCTACCCACCCCTCCCTCCTCACTGACCAACCCCCACCCCAACTCCCTACCTACACTCACCTTTACTGTCTTCATCCCCGCCACCTTGACCTGTCCTCTTCTCTCCACCTATCTGCTCCTCTATCCATCTTCTACCATTGCCTCCCCTTCTCTCTATTTATTTCAGAGCCCCCTTCCTGTCCCCCATTTCTGAAGAAGGGCTCAGACCCGAAACGTCAACTTTCCTGCTCCTCTGATCCTGCCTGGCCTGCTGTGTTCATCCAACTCTACATCTTGTTATCTCAGACTCCAGCATCGTCAGTTCCTACTATCTCACCATGTTTTGAGTGCAGTTTTCAAAGCTGCAGGTTGGTGGGATTTTTCCTTCATGCTTAGGTTAGCAGCTTCTGGTCTATTGTGTCCTTTACAAAGAAATAGTTTAGAAAATTGCTGATAAAGTGTACTGGAACATAGTATATTTCAGCAAGACAGTGCTCTGTCCATTAGAAAGAGTTTTGGTCGTTGACATTCACTAATGTTCCTGTTATACTAGATGTTTCTCTGAAATTTGAATGGATAAGTCAGATGCAAAAACTTAGATTTACATAGGAAGATCGGAACAAGAGGAAGCCAAATCTGTATCACCATTCAGTTAGATGATCTGTATCTCTGTCCCATAACCTTTAAGTACACTTGCCTAACAAAAAACCTCATTTAGAAAATTCCGTGAATAGTGCAGCATTCATTTTAATAGTCTTTTAAATTCATTCAAAGGCCAGAAGTATCTCAGGCTTGGCCTGCATTCTAGCCCATCCCTAATTGCCCAGAGAGTGGTTAAGAGTCAACCACATTGATGTGGGTCTGGAGTCACCTTCTGACTCCTAGTGTGATACGTTACCAAGTAAGCTAAGCCAATAATGAGGAGTTAATATTTTCTAAAAAGTTACTAATTTGCTGTTCAGTTATTGAAGAATACAAAGTATCATAGAATTTTGAAACAAGTGTGGCAAAGGAACTAAATACAGTAGTGTCAGGGACTGAAAATAGATTTCCCCTGAAAATAGATACCATTTATTCATGCATTAAGAGAAGGAGCAAAGAAATCAGTGGGATACTGACTTTCCTGACGAAGGAAGCAAAGGACACTGGTGAGATCAATAATATCGAGAAATGAAACAATAAATATACGGTTGACAAACTGGCCACAAGTAACTGTAACATCCAAGATGAAATAATGGAAACTATTCCAGACGATTGCTGGGGAATGCAACTGGATAACAATACTGACAAACCACCTTTTGAAATCTGTACGAATGAAGCAGATAGTTACATTCCCATCATTAACTGATTTGAAAAGCAAGTAAAGATTTTGAAAAATAAAACAGAAAACGCTGGAGAAACTCAGTTGGTCTGGCAGCATCTGTGAAGAGAGAATCCAACATTCAGAACTTCTTCAGAAGATGTGTTGGGTTTTATGTTGCATTCTCCTCTAGATATTGGAAAGGCTATAGAGGGGAGCAGCTATTGTGAAATGGATAACTTGGATGGTGAATAGGAGAATTTTATGGTTTGCAGTCAAAAAAAGGAATGGGACCCTCAATGTGTTACATTGAATAATGTAAATAAAATAACATAAAAATTAAGTTGAATTCATCATTCTGTTCACTTCCTTTCTTTCCTTAATCTTTGTCTGTCCCATATCACTTCCCGTCCCCTCCTTGGCATACATTCAAGGCTGTGATTGATCTTTTGGCATCTCAGGAAGGTGGGGGTTGAAACTCAAAATTAATTATGGACTCTTGAATGGTAGAACAGACTCAATAATCCAAAGATCTATTCCTATTCCTACATCTTCTATCTGAGTCTACCCATATCCAAAGCTACCCCTTGAATTTGCCATCTCATTTGGCCTCGCTACTTCCATCATATTAGTCATAGATAAGGCTATCTCTGATCACTTTCATGTCTCGGTCTCCTCCCAAATTCCCCTTGCCTTTCCCAACTCTGCTTCTTTGTATCTATTTCTGGAAGCTGCATTCTGCCAATTCATTTAGAACCTCCTTTTCAAAACCACAACTAACTTTTGGCCTCCATTTACCATGACATTTTCTGCAGTTTCGATCTGCTCAATCAACCCACACCTTCATATTTACCTTAGATCTCATTAAAAAACTTTTCTTTCTCACTCACAGACACACACATCTCCGTCCAAAGAATGCACCTTGTATTTAAATTGTTCTTGGAAGTTGATTTTCTTTTCAACAACATTTTTCTCTCGTGTGAACTTCAGATACAGTGCAGGCTACTGGATTAATATTGGTGGGCTAGACAGAAAGGAGTCAGTTCAGCCAGGTTGGCTGCTTGATTTGCTTCTCAAGATTTTAACAGGCTCTTTGATTCTTCAGGTGAAAAAGGCCTTCTTTGCTTTGGTGGCAAATGGTGTTCGAGCAGCCCCGCTTTGGGAAAGTAAGAAACAGAGTTTTGTAGGTAAGTTGACACATCTGTTGAATTGCAGTTCAATACAAGTTGTTGAAGACTTGCAGTAAGGCGATGCAACATAAATTAAATCCAGGGACGCTTCTGTACCCTGTCGAGTATTGAGCCATGCAGGTGATTAATCTGACTGAAAGGGTGCTAAGCGTCTGTAATAGGTGATAAGCATAGCTAGAGGGACAAGAAATGCCAAATACTTTTGAGAAAGCAATTAGCCAGATTCTTGCAAACAAATAAGACTAAGGGTTGCGTAGTATTAGAGTAATTTGAAGCATGATGTGATAAGTGCAGTTTGCTTGGGAGCAACAGGTGATTTTGGGCCTACAGTTTCCAAAGCACTCCACTGCTAGGGTTTTCTTGTACCTTGTCTGTGTAATACTGATTGATAGAGGTTGTTTGCTGTTGTTAGGCAACAACTCCCATTATTGTTGTATCATGTGATGGCAAATGAGATGCTTTCTCTTCGTGTAGCAATTCCCACTTTATTAGATGTTTTCTAATTACATACCTCCGGTGCAGGCAGGCCCCCCGGCTCAGAGATTGTAATCATATAGATTCCTAATGCATCAAGGGAACACTGGACAGCTGTGTTTGATGGATCAAGGATCTTCTGTCTCAAACGTCTGCTATTTAACACCCAACAATAGCTTCTTTCATTAATTCACTATACAGATGCTGTACGGTTTGCTTCAGAGTACCGATTTTGAGCAGGTTAGATTTTGCTATTTTCAGTATTGTAGTGATTGTAGTATCCATATTGCAGCAGTGTTTTGTTTTGTCTTCCACATCAGTGTGAGTTTTGATGAATTGCTTGATTTGAGAGATTTTCCTGCCTGAGTTTCTTGACATGACATCATGACATTATGTTGTCTGTGATTCCTCTTTTAAAATAAAATCATGTGGGTGATGGAGTTATGTTGCAGATCAGTCATGATATAATGAAATTGTAGAATAGGCTGGAAGGACTGAATGGACTATCCTGCTCCTATGAATTCCCTCACATTCTCATTTAGCTCCATCCTTCTGTTTATTTGATTGCATTTGATGAGCTAGTTGACAGGACTTAATGAGCCTAGTGTTAGTTGTACTGCCCAAGTTAATGCTTTTACTTTATTGGTTCAGCTTCACTTGCATAGTCCAACTTGCCAATTCCACCAACGTGGTTCCTTTGGTAATTATCTCTCACTGTTTTGAATGTTTTTAAATATCAAAAGAAATGCAAATAAAAAGTGTTAGTTAGTGGAATCTTTATTGTTAAAAAAAGACCTAAAAATGCAAGGAGCGTTTGAACAAGGTATGGGGTCTTTTATGAAGAAGCCTCTGTTCTACTTTTAATTTGAATATGTGGAGCTATTTGTGAAACATTAAAATGTCTAGTATAGAACACACTCTTCAAACATTGGTATTCTAAAAATTATCTATCTTTCCTGGATAACAACATCTTGACTTGAATGTTAAAACTGAACAATGTTTGTTGGCACTTGTACTGACAGGAACTAACTGGTTTTGATGGTTTTCCATCCTCTATGAAATTAAGCTTTGGATGTTTCATACCATAATTGGAGAGTAACTAATAAAACTTAGAGTAGAATAATTTATCAGATTATTAGCAATCTCTAAGATACAAGCTGCAAAATGGTTCTGTTCAGCTTATTGTACACTGCATTGAGCTGAATCTTTGTAGCATGTGGATGTCATCTGCTGGCTGTCCTGCATGAGTAACCCACATGTGATGGTCCTAGTGTCTTGATGCATAGATGGACATGCAACGTCAACAGATAGTGTGTGACTGTGGAAACAGAGCATGTAGTTTGAGGTGACAGTAGCTGCTAGATTTTGAGGGGTTGGGAATGGGGTGTCAGGGTTCACAGGATGCTGCTCGGTGTCCTGACTGTCACAGTGACTTTCAGCATTGTTGGTTGCACACAGGGAACCCTTACCTTCCCACTCTGATATTACGCTGTAAGGTGCAGCCAACGCCTCCCACACTGGGAGAGGAATAGTACTCAGCACAACACCCCCCCCCCCCCCCCCCCCCCCCCCACCCCCCCG